GATGAAACAAATCTTGGTAAATAGAGATTGTGCACACACACACACACCCTATCGCACCCCCGCCACCTCGCCACTCATTCTGTCAGCTCTAAAGTTTTGGTACATCAAATGCACTAAGTCTCCATCTGAGATGTGTAGTCTAACCTTATGAGACACATGGAAAGTGACATGAACACTAAAATTTATTTCTTGGGATTACTTACTATGTACCAGCCATATATAATCCTGGAATTATGGGGCATACAATTAAAAGAGCAAGTTGGAAATGACTACAGTCAGTCAGTTGGGAACAGGGTGCCCCTGTTAAAGAGTCAAGTCCACTTACTAGCCTAATTGAGAAACACTGGGTTGGAAAAAAAGGGGACACCTTCCCCACTTCCCAAAGCACGAGGTCCATTTAACAGTCTGATTGGAGAACAATCCCAGGCCAGGAGGTTACCCCCTCTGACCCAGTAAAGAATGGGATGTTAAGAACCCCAACACAATAACACAACCAACAGGCCAAACCATATTGGGGAAGATAGGCCAGGTAGTATGGGCAAACTCAATGAGCCTCTGTAGCCTTGGAATTCCCTGCAGGCCCAGCCAATCAGCAAGAGCTGCCCAACAACCAAACCCCCACTTCCTGCCCACTGTACCTATAAAAGCACCTACTTCTCACCACCTCAGTGGCCACCCACTCGGGACCCCTCACCACTTGGAGAGTTTTCCCATCCTCTCTCTTGTCAATCAGTTGGTTACCCATCCAGGACCCCTCTCAACTCAGAGAGCTTGCCTATCCTTCCTCCTAACTATCAATAAATTACTTGTCTTTCTGTTACTTTGGTCCAGACATTTAATCTTCCCTCGCTGAAAACAATAACTTCCCTCACTGAGAAAGGGCCCACCTTGGGTCCTCAGACTTGAGACTTGCTTCCCAAACCCCCATTCAAAATGAGGAGCACAGTCATTCTCCCTTTTCTCACAGAACTCACAAATACACATGAGTAGATGCCAGGTTCTATTTTACAATATAGTGCAAGGATCTATGTTTTCATTCAATCATGAATAATCACAAGAACAATGACTTAATATTCCACATTTACATCAAAGAAAGGATATTCTTCTCTAAGCCCTGAGGGAGAAGTCTCAGGCTTCTTGCCTCTCCCTAACTCTGCCCTGGCAGATATGTTGATATAAGCGCTGGCAGCTTGAGTGCATGCCAACTCAAATAGATCTGGAAGAAAAACACAGGAAAGATATACTTAACTAATGTTAGTGACACTCTGTTCTCAGCGCGGTTATCTTCCATCTTTAAGAGAAAAATAGATCTAGGTCTTTAGCACTTTCAGGAGATTTTCAGTATTTACTGATTGCTTGAAGTATTTCAGTACAGTAAGTTCGCATCAATGTCACCTGTATAAAAAGGTACGTATTATCTACTTCCTTTGGGTCCTATGCTGTGATGTAATATAGAGCAAACAGGTTTTCTGCAACTTGGAAAACTACGACAATGATCCAGAACACTGATATGGACTAATTGGACAGAGTACAAACAGCTGAATAAATATTAAAGAAGTCTATGCATTAATGAATATTATTATCTTGTACAGGTGGAGTGAGTACATAATTTTAACAGGGAATGTTGGAAAGAAACCCTGAGTATGTTCCAACTGGACAAGGTCATAGAGAAGCCACAAGCTCTTCACTAATTAATCATCATGCATTGTAGCAAGTAGATAAAATAAATCTGACTTTCTCACACCATATTCTAGATTTTCTTTGGAAACTTGGCATTTCCTGAAAAAGTCAAAGTCCTATGAGCATTCTCATATAAAATACTTATTGCTGGCTAAATATAATTGCTCTAGCAGCTCCCAACCCATTTCAAATTAAGGAGAAAAAACTAATTTCATTAGTTTTAGTAAACAAATAAATTTTTAGTTTGCTTTGCTCTTTTGGTCCAACCAAGGAATCAAAAAGAAGTAATACTGTTTATAGATCATTTTGCAATAAAGAAAACCTTCTCCATGCACATCTGCTTTGAACATCAGAAAAATAGATTTGGTGAAGAGAGTATTGTTAATATACCCATTTTGAGGGTATGAGGTAAAGAGAAGTAAAGTAAATTTCCTATATAATTGATTTGTAAATGCTTCCTAATATTTCCCTGTAAGATATTTTGATAATAAACCTAGAGTGGATAACAGGTTTGTTGAAAATATAGGTAAGTAGTATCTATGAAGTAATAAATAATTATGTATTGCTGGTTAAATGGCAAGTCTAATGTATGCACTGTTACATAGAATTCTGTCATTATTTCTGACCTCGACAAGCTTAAAGTCTATTTAGAAGGCAAGATTGTGAATGTTCTGTAGTTACCTATAGTCATGCAGACTAATAAGAACTGATCCGATCAGAAAAGATGAAATGCAAGTAAAATGGGGAAAGATGCCAGCACTGGGGTGCAGGTAGGTCTGTTAACCCTAACCAGCTTTGCAGCCTTTGTTTTTGTTACTTACAGTCTGCATTCTATACAAGGTCAGAACTTCCTGGTCAGTCAGTTATAGGAGCCTAACCCTGAAAGGTGCCTTTTAATCAATCAAGAGCAGAGAGCTTGATCACCGTGGGAAGGATATGAATGTGAAGTATGACCGGGAACTCCCAGAGGCCAAGGACCAATGTGTGACAGTCTGACAAGGGACCCTAGAAGCTGATCATTGGAAGCTTTGTTTTTGAGAGAGAAACCCTGGCTGGGGATGTAGGGCTTGATCTCAATCACAATATCCAGTCATCATGCTGGTGAGAAGTGCCTGGAAGGCAGACTCACAGCCCCAGATATTATAGATGACAGAGTACATTTTCTAGTTTCACCCCTCCCTTTTTTACTGTCCTCCCTCCCCTCACAACTGATGCTGTGTGATTATTCTATCAATTAAAAGGCCAGGATCTTGCTATTCAGCAGCATCCTGCATCATACTGCCTGCTCCATTACTCCTATTTGTCAGTGTGGTGCTGTCAACGCAACACTGGGGCTAAAAAGAAGCCATGGCAATGGAAAGAGAGGCAGGACCCAGGAGAAGGCAAGATGGTACTAAAGTGGAGAACTGGAAAGCAATAAAAAAAGAAGTGAGAATTTGTCCATGTAGCACCTGGCAGAGGGCCTTAAATATAAACACCACTGTGTAAAGAAAAGGATAAAAAAGAGAGTCTTCACTAAGCAATGAACTTTCTTCAACTTTATCAATTAGACAATCACTGCTTCTCCAGTGGCAAGCAGAAGTTTCTGCTCTAGCACTTCCCTAACTAAATAGAACTAACAGGACAAATTTCTATTTTGTCAGATGTCTAATATTTTTTTGCTTCAATGAAAAAAGACAGTCACTGAAAATTTTTTAGTAAGTATGGCAAAGCAATGTTTAAAAAATTTGATCTTGCCATATTTGGCTTAAAGTTAGAGGGAAGAGAGAATGATGTTGGTGGATATGGCCAGTTCTCAGGAGCATCTGCCAGGTAAGAGAAAATGAAGGTCATTAGGGAAGTGTCCAGTGAGAGAGAAAACTGGTCACATAAAAGAGTAATTATGTAATTCAAGTGATTTGGCCCTTATGCTTAAAATGGACAGGAGAATATACTGAAAACAGGAGCACATACCAGATTTTTCCCTATGATTAAAATCAGAGGAACTCCACGGAAACATTATGGATGACAGAAATAGAGATGAGAACCAAGGAGGCAGTACTGATAACTAACAAAATCCAGCTTTGTGTGTGTGTGGACAAGAGTTTTCCTTTATCTCCTCCAATGTGAATGTGGAACAGTAGGTTTTTAAATGCTTTTTCTGGAAATGAGGTCTCTCTTTGAAAGAAGAAGGAAAACAAACGTGCAGATGTTATCACAATATACTGACAATGCTTACATTGACTTTTACAAAATCCTGAACTCGGGCTGTCCAAGTCCCAGGGCTGCTAGCTGACTGTGGGTGGAAAAGCAAACAAAACAATCTCATGAGGAGGCAGGAATACCAAGCCACTGCCTTGATGTCCAGAGGTAGCCGGCTTACTTGGAGCAGGTACTTAATATACAAGACTATTTGCTTTTCTTCAAGGCAACCACTGTCTGCTTTATCTCTAAACACACGAAACTGGGCCTGCTGAGCCTAGTTAAGAAGACAACAATGGAACTTACAAGAAGAGAAGATGAAGACAAGGCTTTGAAAGAGTTTTTGCAAAGGCTCTTGGCGCATTTTCCAGCAGATTGTTTTCTGGTGGCCCTGGAGAAAATGAATCCTAGCATTGAAATTATCCACACTGGGAGGGGTTTATTTGCTTCTGTTTTGTCGGGAAGGAAGCACAGGTAGTGAGTTGCACCCTGGTTTCAGTAAATATGGTACTGCTTTATCAAAGTTTAAAAAAAAAGTTTCAACTCAAGTCTAGCTGGTGTATTTTTCCTCTTATCACTATGTTCAGTTCAGATTGTGTAAGTAAGACTAAGAGGAATAGGAGCTGACACATGACAAGCTCGTAAACTTTTGTGTTTCTTAATATTTATTTTGGCTCAAAGCAAACAAAACAAGGTTGTGGATACGTGGCCTTGAGCCCAGGTGTTCGCTGAGTTATTTTAACTTCAGCAACCAGTAGCACTTGTACATCTTGGCCCACGAAGAACTGCGTTTCCCGAGAGGGCACGCCCAGAGAGAGGGCCCGTCAAGTGTATTATGGGAATTGTAGTCTGGGGGTGAATTTGTATTCTCCCAGCCCGGACTCACGCTCTGATTCCGGAATGGTTGAACTTAGGAGCTACCAATTAGCTGGGGCCATGTCGGTGAGGCCGTGGTCCAACCGGAAAAGCCAGTGTGGTACTCTCGCGTAGTGATTGGCCAATCGTTGACCTTGGGGCGGAGCAATGAACTGGGTGGGAAGACGACGGTGATTGGGTGAGGGACGCACGGCGGCGGCTGGGGATTGGCTGCGCACCGGGGCAGGGAGGCCTGGGAAGGGGTGGAGGAAGAAGACCAGAGCAGGAAGAGCAGCGGCGAGGCGGCGGCGACGGCTGAGTCCGTGGTGGCAGCGGCGAAAGCGGCAGCTTGGGGGGTGGCGGCGGCGGGGAGAGCAGGATGCGGGTCCGGTTCGGGCTGACGCTGCTGTTCTGTGCGGTGCTGCTGGGCTCGGCCTTGGCGTCCTCTGGTCAGTATCCACCCCCTTGGGCTGGAGGCCCGGAACCACCGCCCCCCGGCCTCTGTCGGCTGGGCAGGGCCGTGGGGGCTCAAAAGGGGACTCCACTTTGTGGTCACAGCAGTCGCTGGCCTCTCACTCGCTGGCATTCTTTGGATTTCGGTTGGTCTGGACCGAAGGGGGTGTTTAGGGAACCAGAGAGGGCTGGAAAAGGAGGAGCGGTCACCCAGCCGACGCCTGTCCCCACTTAACAAACTTTACAGGACTCTTCTCGAAGAGGGAGCTGACTCCCTGGGAATGTATCCCGACAGCTGGTTTAGACCCGTAGTGACAGAGGGGTCCTGTTGGAGCTTCCTGACTTTTATGCAGATTATGTGCTGCATAGGGTCTGAAACTCTGCAGTTGGGATGTGTAAGTTAAGAAATTGACACAACTGGGACTGTCACAGGGCCATCACGAACAGGATGTTGACAGTGGTTTGATGGGTTTGCGTAGCACCTGAGCTGGTCCCTGTCGTTTTGAAAAGGAAGATTTCTGTGATTGCGCCCACCTCCTACCTCTCTTTGAAGACATACTTGAGAAAGTTGCGTTTACCTTTGTCGCTGCTTTTTAGTTGCCACGTTTGTTGACGACTTGATAATTTCCGAGACAACCCCTATACACTTAAAATTAATAGCACCTACTTTTTACTTTGTATGTAAATAAAGGAAACCCTGTGCTTTTGAATTGATTTTCTGATTAGCTTTTCTATACACTGGTTCTGGGAATTATTTTTAATCTACATCTGAAAGCTCTATTTTAAGGATGTATCTAAGTGTTGGTTTAAGGAAAAACAGTCCAATAAAGCTTTTGAATTTTAATCCAAAATTCAGTTACAAGACAGCTGTCTGTGGCTTTAAAATTTTTTTGGAACAAGGCAGAGTATAAATGTCAACTCTCTTTTCCAGCAGAAAATTTCCCAGATGGTTATTTAAATCCCCAAATTATCTGTCCTAGTTGTAAGTCAATGCCATCACGTCATAACTGCTTCTAAATTAAGAGGTCTAAACCTAAAATTCTGTCCATAGTGTGGTTTGAGATATCTTTCAAAAGCAACAAGCATATGTTACTTTAATGCAAACAAACATCATGCTTTTAGGTCTGCACCGCTCCTTACCCCTCCCCCTTTTAGTAAATAGTTTGTGTTCATGACCAGACTTTATAAATTTCTATGTAATTATTGAAACATTCTTTGCAGTTAATTAATCAAAAGAAGTGAGTACCTGGTGGACCTTTGAATCACCTGCCTCAGAATTCCTCTTGAAGGTTTGATTAAAATGCAATTTTAAGTCAGGAAAGGTAGGGGTATCTAAACTTTAACAGGCTCCACAATTGAGTCTTAACACTAACGTTGGAGATTTATTAAGAACATGGCACCTATCTCTCTGAATTCAGTTTGCAGAATGTCAAGAAAATTGAAGTGCACAAACATATTCTCTGATGAGATTTTATATACTTTGAGTTCCATGTCAGTGGAGATGATACTTGGAGAGCATTTAATCAGAAGTTGTGATTCTCAGGATGTTGAAATAGAAGACTGTTATTACTGAAGTGATAAATCTTAGCGTTATATGGATGTAAACAAAGGATTGGTTTCAAGAAATGTCTGCTCTGATACCCATCATAGTTATACTATGTCCAAACATTTCTCTGGTAGAAGCAGAAACCTTACTCAACCAGGACTAAAACAATATCAAGGTATATGCTGGCAAGTAGTGAAAATACCTGTCATGAAGTCAGATATATAATTTAACATTTATGTGAGATAATATTTTATAAACTAACTACATGAATTTTCAGTTGGCTCTTTTGTTCATTACCTTGCTTATTTGTATGATGTCAGCCTCATTTTTAAAGCTTAGACTTAGTTATTCTAATTTTGTGTTAATTGATAGTTTCAATATTAACAGTTACCCAGGTTAAGTTACATAGTTATTGTCAGAATATAATAAGCCAATAAAGAGACTCTTGATCTGGTAGTAGTTATTATCTAGCATCTTGGTTTAGAGACATGTAAAATATACTTTTATTAGAAATGTGGTTTTTCCTGTTGCTAAAGAAAGAAGAGTTTAAAGGGTTTTTTCAACATAACTAGGTGGAAAAGGACTCACTTTAAGCAACACTTGTTTACTTATTTTGGTATAAGAATAGGCAGTTGATTTACTTTTTTCCCTTTGTGCCAATGTTGTATTCTTTTAGGTCCACTGCTAGGTATTTCAGGACATAATTATATTAATACCATATATTCAAAAAGTACATTTCAGACTTTAGGGGATGTTTGATTTCATTGTTCTTTTGTTCCCAAAACAGTATTGTGAGTCAACAGAGCAGATGGTATTATCCCCATTTGACAAATTGAGAAAATGGAGGGTGAGGAAGTTTGTGATATGGGAAGTTGTGCATAAATTAGTATGTCATGAAGCCAGGCTTGGGATCTGGTTCTCCACGCCTCAGGCTTGAAACAGTCAGAATCAGGAATATCCTAGAATCTGCACACATTCAGTGGCAAAGCAGAAGACCGAATGTCTGGTCTTTTTTTTTTTTTTAAAAAAAAAAAAGATTATGCGGAGGGTGAGAGGATTCACCAGAGACAGAGTGGGGTACAGAACAGGCAGATCGATGAAGTACACTGCTGAAGGGAGCAGCGGGCGGGCCAGGAGAGATCTGCTGTGCTATGTGGGTCACCTCCGGGACAGACGGGAATCGAACTCATGTGAAAGTGGCTTAAGCTTCTTAGTGCAGTGTTTAACCCGCTGCGCCACCAGGGAGGGCCTTGTCTGGTCTTTCTTCACCAACTCTTTGGACTTTCTGTCTTGGAAAGTGTATCAGTCTGTTTAATTTGCATAAGACTTGGGGAAAATGAGTTTGTGATGATGATTTTTTCCTGAAAGAATGGTTCTTTTCAGTTTTATTAGCAGATAAAGTAAAAATGAGTATTAGTCTTTTTCAAAGGAAGGTGTATGATTATTAAATAGAAGCCATTGGTAGTTCAGAACTGATTTGAGTGAGAAATCTGTAACTGTTCATGAAATCCCTTTGTGTTTTTTTTCTTGCTTGATAGCTGTGTTCTGATAAGTTTTACTAGTCTTTGCTTTTTACTTATATGTCTCTTTAATGTGTTTAATCCTTACCAGGCTACTTTAAAAGTGATACGTGAGTGGAGATAGCAGTTTGAAAGAGAAAATAACTGTGCTTTAAACAGTAGGCTTTCCCAGTTTTATCAGTAACCTTGTATAGGTTCCTAGTTTGTGAACATAGGAGAGAGGGGAAAAGCATGATGCAATTCGGGTGAAATAACCCTGATGTCACAAGTTCTCCAGTCTCTTAGAGTTTAGAAACACTTTTGCTATTCTGATGCCTAACAGCTTGTAGTATCTGAAACTTGTGTATTTTTAAATTTATTTAAAGGTGTCCATTATTTACCATACCTGCTAATCTTAAATTTCAGCATTTGGGGATGTACAGTAAACATTTATGCATTTAATGTCAGCTCAGCGCCATGTATTACATAGTTAAGATTTGCGATTAAATATTTTATACATACAATTTTTATATAAGGGCCCTCCCTGGTGGCACAGTGGGTTAAAGCACAGCACTATGAAGCTCTCGAAGCTACTGCAGCACAAGTTCAATCCCCAGCCAGGAGGGTGACCCAGATGCCATGGCAGACCTCTCCTGACCCACCCTGCCATGACCCACCCACTGCTCCCTCAGCAGTGTATTTCAGTACATCTGCCTGTACTGCTCCCCACTCTGTCTCTGGTGAATCTTCTCACCTCCTGCACCTCTGGCCTGTGCCCCAGTTATATATGTATAAATAAATAGATCTTTTTAAAAAAAAATTTATGTAAAATAGAGATGAATATTTTCTGCTATCCAAAAATTTGCTGGAATTTGAACCATATATTAGAAGTTGGGTTTTGGGGTGATGCTTTTGAAGAGGTTAATTTGAAGAAGAAATGTGAATTGATATCACTACCTGAGTTTTGTTAGGGCACTAGTACATGCAGTACCTTCCTCATCCCAACGCAGGAGCAATAACCCCAACTTGGAAGGTCACCTAAAAGTAGTAAATATAGTAAATATCACTTTAAATTTTATTTGAACTGACAGCACTTTCATATAGGACAAAACTTTCCTTAGCTGACTGTTCTTTTTAAATATTCCGAAGGAATGAATACCATAAACTAGGGTTTTGTGTTCTGTGCATGATGATTTGGTTATACTTCTTAAGGTCTGCTGGATACTTTGATAATGTGAGCCAAAGCATGTTGTTGTTATACTTTAGAGAGCTGCTAGTTATGAGTGATGTTAAGAATGTAACCATATGAAGTAAACGTGATTGGCAACTATTACATTACATTTTCTCGTTGAAAGCCACATGGCTTTATAGCTTTTTGTCTACATAGCTTATGGGACATACAATAATTAAGCTCACTCTTGAATACAGTTAGGTAATTTTAAGAATAAGAAGGAAACAGAGAGGTTATTGAACAGTTTTTCTTTAAAACTGGTCAGGTCACAAAGCTCAAACATTTTGTTTGCTCAGTGGCTTGTTGAATGTGCTTATAGTAAAAGCAGGAGAAAAATGACTAACGGGGATAGAATAGCTGAAAACAAAAAAATTACTATAAGGAAATTAAGTAATGGGACAAAATCAAAGCAGCTGAAAGGAATTGGTAGAAAGCTGTAAGTAGGTGAAATCATAGTTTATTGAGTTACAAGGTATTGATTTCTTAATGAATAGATCTCATGTGAATGAATATGTGATAGTATGAATGCTGCTTTTTACCTTTATCTGGTTATCTCTTCAGTAAAGTGGAACACAGATCCTCTATACCTTCGTCTGGCAACTTGGTTAAATAATAATCCTTAGTTTCTGTCTTTAGTAGTCTTAATGAACAACGAAATGCTAACCAGTGCTAAAATAAACTAGTATAATTCCAGATTCTGAATTCCAGATTCTGAACAGAGATAAAGAATAGGTTGAATCCTGAACCAGAGAATCAGAGATGTAATTTTATAAATTTAGTAATTGTTCCTCAGTAGTAGATAAATGTGCTGTTGGCAGTGGTAGGTCTTCCTATTTATGTAACATGTAGGACTAACATCTTTCCTGGAGAAAGAAAAACTACCTTCAAACCCCTTTTCTTTTGACTTAACCTTTTCTGAACAATTGCTGAATATAAACATTTTTTAGATAATTCTAGTTTTTTTAATCCAGTGTCTATTTGTTGTACTTATCAAATGCTTTATTAATAATAGCTGTGATTTCCCAATAAGAAGGATAACTAAATTGTCTCAAAATTCCTTTATAGATGAAGAAAGCAGCCAGGATGAATCCTTAGAGTCCAAGGTATGTACTGAAATTTGCATTAACCAGTATTTAATGCCCAGTTTAAAAGCATGAGTTATTTATCTTGGAGAGTAGATGAAATTTGCATTCTTTGAGCAACAGAATTGGATTTTTAAAAGACACTACTATCAATATTAGTTCTAGTTCTTCTGGGGCAAAAAAAAATCACTGACTTACAGGGAGAGAGAATAGTAAGTACTTTCATTATAATTGTTTTTTATTAGATTTAATTTTAGTTTGAATGTGCTGTCTGAACTGTGTGTGTATGTGCATATCTGTGTGTGTGTAAGAACCTTAGGAGGTGACAGTTTTACTGCCTAAAGACAGATTGACTTCATTCTTTTTTAGTTTCAAAAGAGACATAACCCCTGCTCTTGGTTTCCATTTATATCAGTTTTTTAAATAAAACAAAATAATGAGTTAATACACTTAAACCAGTTGATAGATTGAATAGGCTCATTATTGGTATCCATGGAGACCAAGCTGTTAGGATCCCCTGATCTCTAGATTAGAGGAAATATAGATAAGAAACAGGAAGTTAGAATCAGAGCCGTCATAGAAGAAATAGAAGATGTTGGGGGCATGTAGACCCCACCCCACCTTTGGGCATGGTGGGAGGCTTCCTAAAGGAAATTATGTCTCAGGTGAAATTCAAAGAAAGAGTTGGGATTGGGCAGGTAATGGAAGCACATGATGAATGCTTCCAAGGCCTATGGAGTTGAACAAGTATGACATGTTCAAGAGCTAAAAGAGTTCCAAATTAGTAAAAGAAATGGTCAAATTCAGTCAGAGGAAGTCTTGGTACTGTTGAATAGAAAATACTTTTTATTCTCAGACCTCTTTGCCATCTGATGAATCAGTAAAGGATCACAGCACAGCAGGCAGAGTAGTTGCTGGTCAGATATTTCTTGATTCGGAAGAATCAGAGTTGGAATCACCTATTCAAGAAGAAGAAGAAGACAGCCTCAGAAATCAAGAAGAACAGAGTGTCCCAGAAGAAATCAGCTTTCTCGAATCTCCAAACCCAGAAAATAAGGACTATGAAGAGCCAACGAAAGTACGGAAATCAGGTAGTCTAGGCATTTTCTTTGCTTTTGCTTGTTTTAGGATGCAAACAACTGAAATTTTAAAGCAAGCATAGAAAGATGCTCAAATAGTCTATTTTTACTAATTATTGACCATGTGTAGAGTTTGGTTCAAAGGACATTTTAGATTTTAATATTATATCAGGTACTCATTTAATAGATTTGACCCAAATTATGTAAGTGGAATTCATTAAGCAAAATTGTATTTGGATTCTATAAATATCCTACATTCTCTCTGACCTTCAGTATGTAATAATCTGTCAGAGTGATACATGGAATAGAAACTCATGGGAAGAATTGTCTAACATGCTTCTTTGGTTCTATTCAGAGTTATATTAGGGTTTTCACTACAATAGCCTTTTTAGTCATCCTAGGTAATTTGATTCAGCTATTTATCCCTCTCCAATTGAAACTTAGCTAAACTTTAATCCTCTTCTAACTTTGCCTGCACTTTTAAATGCAAATTTGCTCTTTCTCACAGTAGAGTATGCTAAATACCTGTGCTTTAAAAAATTCATTATTCATGTGTCTTCTGCTTTGTGTCCCTTTATTTACAAAAGGATAATTTTTAAAATTGTGTTACTAAGCACTCTTGGGAATTGATCCAGGTTTGAGCTTTTTTGGGCTCTCCCTGGTGGCACAGCAGGTTAAAGCTCAGCACTAAGAACTAAAGCCACTTTGGCATGAGTTCGATCCCTGGCCCCAGAGGTGACCCAGATGCACAGCAGACCTCTCCTGACTCACCTGCTGCTCCCCTCAGCAGTGTACTTCGTCAGACTTCCTGTTCTGCTCCCAACTCTTGTCTCTGGTGAATCCTCTTTACCACCCTGCACCTCTAGCCTGTACCCCAGTTCTGTATGCATCAATAAATAAATCTTAAAAAAAAAAACCCACTTTTTTACAAACATTTGCCTTCATAATAGCAAGTATTTTTAATTTAAAGTTCCTTAATGTTAGCTAGAAATAACTGCTGTTTATATAATGAAGAATACTGTTAAGCTTTTATCTAGTGTATGAATACTTTTAAAATGACTGAATTGGGTCAAAATATCCATGCTATTTTATAGGCTACGTTTTGCAAAGAACAGTTTGTCATGAACATTTTTTCCATATAATTAATGGCTATAATCAATTTTGTATGTAAATATGACATACCTTAGAAATGGTTTGTTTATAGTGTTTTCTTCTGGAATATTAGAGATTTAGAAAATTTAGAGATTTCCTTGTGCACATCTGTGAAAAGTTCTTTAGAATTCTTAAAAATAAACTTGTTGGGCTGAACATAAAATTTTAAAAACATTTGATACATATTGCTAAATTGTTTTTCAGAAAAATAATTCCCTTCCTTTTACTTACTACTTTTTGTACCTCAGTCAATTTTATATTGCCAGTTTCAAATTTTGCCCACATAATATAGTTTAATTTTCTCCTATTTGTTTTTGATTAGGGAGATTTCCAAAACCACCCAAAAGAGTATTACCTCTGCCCCAGCCTACCCAACGTCAGACCCGTCTGTCTTCTGCTATTCTTGTTTCAGCTTTATCACCATACACACATTTACTCTTTATTTTCTTTCCCAGGATATTTCAAAGCAAATTCCATATTGCTTTGCCTATGTGTGTGCTGTCTCTAAAAGTAAGAATTTGTTGCAGCAAAATCAGGTTATTCAGTTTTCCAGTTCTTTCAAATCTCTTTTTTTTTTTTTTAAAGATTTATTTATTTATTTGTACAGAACTGGGGTATAGGCCAGAGATGCGGAGGGTGAGAGAATTCACCAGAGACAGAGTGGGGAGCAGAACAGGCAGATCGACGAAGTACACTGCTGAGGGGAGCAGCGGGCGGGTCAGGAGAGGTCTGCCACGCCATGTGGTCGCCTCTGGGGCAGTGGGAATCGAACTCATGCGGAAGTGGCTTTAGCTTCTTAGTGCAGTGCTTTAACCCGCTGCGCCACCAGGGAGGGCCTCAAATCTCTTTTTTAATTTGGTTTATTTGAATGAGTATCTGAGCTAAGATCTTACATTCCTCTTCATTTGTAACATTTCCCCTCCTTAGTTTTAGGTGTCATTTATTTGATAAGGAAATAATGTACTTTGTGCTATACAATTTCCCACATTCTGGATCTTGCTGGTCATATCCTTGTAATGTCATTTAAGTTGTTTTGCTCTCTTCTGTACGTTTTGTAAACTGGAAGTCAGCTCTAGAGGAGGTAGATTTAGTTCGGCGTGAGAATATTTCCTAGGTAGTAGTATATATTGCGTACATTGGGAGGCATATTTTCCTGATTGTTCTGCTTCTTGTGATTCAGCAGCTGGGCTGGGTGGTGACAGCCTTACCTAGCCCTTCAAAATATTCTCATTGGCCTTTCAGTTAAGAAAAAGATTTTGGCAACCATTTTGTTTGTTGTCTGGATCCATTATTTCAGTAGGAGTTGCAAAGTGGTGACTTTGTAATTTATCAGTGCTCTTACATTTGTTATCTGGATTCTTTTATAAAAAACTTTTCCACATCAACTATTTCATTAATGAAGTAGAACTCATACCAGGGAAAGGAGGTTGATTCTTTCCTTGATATATTTTCAAGTAATGATGTGCCCTAGCAACCTCCATGGGAGATTCCTAAGTATATTTTGTTTGCTTGTTTCTTTGCTTTGCTTTGAGCATCATTGCAAATCCATGGGTTTTCATATGTTTATGCTTTACTCTTTCGTAATTACTCTTTTTTCATTACTCACCTGTCCCATTTTTGGCCATTGACAATTCCTTAAGTTTATTCCCTTATTCTTTTAACTGACCATCACTGACTTTTAAACTTTTTTAGGTTTATATATAAGGTATATATGAATGTGTGTTAGCTATATATACACAGATATATAATATGCATTTTTTTTTTTTAGGCAAGACACTTACGTTAGCATTTCCTGAAATGAATCTTAGCCATTTCTCCAAGAAACCTAGATTCTTTTTAGCAGGGAATTTCATATAGATACTACAGTCTTAAGTACCCAGGGCTATATGCTCCAACCGCGTTGTCATTGCTCATGGGCCTTTTTGATGAATAGGGTTAGGAAATGTTTCATTCAAATTGATACTTCCAATTCAAAGTAAATCTAGGTACAGTAACACAAAGGGTCGGACAAGTGGAACTCACAAGAGTCAGATCTTACCCAGTATCAAGCTTGACTAATGTATTCAAGATACAGTTAGCACAAGACACAGTCTGTGGAGAAGTCCTTGATTGTCAAAGCTTTTCCCAGGTCCTTTCTTGCCACCTAGGATGTGCTCTGGCCCAGGTTTTAACATTGAGGCCACTAAGAGATGCATATGGATTGCCACGTCCACTGAAGGGAGCTCTTTCGGTTATGCAGTGTCTTCAGTTTATTCTGTGATAGGTGTGCACCTTGTGTGATGCAGGCAGGCATGCCTCATAAATATGCAGCGCACTACAGCTAGCAGCCTAGGCAGACCAAGTCCATCCTGCTAAAGCTTTCCGCAAGTAGGCCTCCTGGGGAGTAATGCCTTTAGATGCCAGGCGGGGTCTTGTTATGTTTCTGAGACGATTTGGTCATGTCGCACCTCTATTTCCGGCAACAAAAAGGGCCCATGAGTTGCAGGTATGCTGTTCACCCTTTCAGCCCACCAGAATTTTTATTTCTTTTCCTTTTGTGTTTGTGTCTGCTTTCCCTGACCCTGAAGATCTTAATGCCTGATGATACTGTTTATATTGCTTTATTCTACTGACAGCCCAATATATATGTATATATAATGTATGTTTATATAATATATACTGTGCATTCGTTTCAAAATAACATTACCAACCTTACTACTAACAAAAGGCTGGTCGAATCCAGTTTAAGATTTCTTTATGGTTCTTTTGTTCTTAATATATATTTTACTAGGGATTTATTATAATACGGTGATTTTTAAAAATCACTTGGAGAATTCTCTGTACGGTAACACCAACAAAGTTTACAAACATTTGTTGTAAACTTTTTTTAATACATGAAAAGGCTTACATGGTTATATAAAATGTAACATGCATTGCATATAAATGACTTTGGGTATATATGGTTCCAGCTACATTGTGATAATTACTTCTAGACTTTATCAACATCTAGTCCATATCAGCACCATGTTCCTCTTCCTAAAACCCACAGTTAGTGTTTTAAACTCCTCTATTTACAATCCTTCATTGTCTCCCTGTTAGTCTGCGAGATGACAGCCTTTAACATGATGCACAAAGCTTTGTGTCCCAAATATCTGCTGGTTTCTGTAACTTAATCTCTCCCAGATCCCCACCAAAGCACCCTTTTTTTTTTTTTTTTTTTTTTTTTTTGGCATTCCTAAACCAATCATGGTTCTTCAAATGCATCATCATACACTTTATACCTCTGGGCTTTTACATAAGCTTTCAGAATACCTTCTTCACCACCTTTGCCCAAATCCATCTTTTAAAATATAAATACTCATCCTTAAAGGTAATTTTGTCTTTTTTTTGATCAGTTTCTAAACTATCCAAGAATAGTTGAAGAGTTTTAAGCTAATACCTTCTTCCTCTCTGGTCTTCCTGCTTCCCCCTAATACCCAATGGTCAGTTTTCCAGCAGCAGCCAGACTGGGCCTCCTTCCTGTTCAGATGACAGTCTGGAGTCATCATTTGCCACTCCTCATTTTATGATTCCAGCCACTCTCTCCTTCTTGGCTATCTCTTAATCATTTTGTGTCAGGGGTCCCCAAGACCACCACCCCAGGCTTGATTATTCCCTAGGGAGACTGACAGGGCTCAGCACATAGTTGTACTTACAGCTGTGATTTGTTGCTGCAAAAGAATATGAAGTAAAATTAGTGAAGGAAAAAGTCAATGCATAAGGGTTGGTAGAAACCAGATACAAAACTTTAAGGGCCTGTCCCAAGGGAGTCAGTCTCTCCCTCTCCCTCTCCCTCCTCCCCACATCCCCCCCTCTCCCCCTCTTTCCCTCTTCTCTCTCTC